GGGGTTTCGCCGGGGTCTCCCTCGCTGGGTTTCGTGTCGATGGCCTGGCAGCCGGGGTTAGGGTTAGCGCAGTACGCCCCTTTTTGGCTAAAACCGATCCGTTTTCTTCTTACAGGAATTTCATGGTGACGGGCTTGCAGGATATCGACAAATGCCGTCAGCAACTTCACGATATCAGCGTGCCCTTGGAAGTTTTTGAGTAAGTAACTTTGCACCTGGAAGGGAAGGTGCTGTAGTCGGTGTGATTTGAGGTAGCGTGTCTTTGCAACGTGGGTGTCTTCCCCGAGGACTGCTTGTTTCTTAAACTCCATTTTCTGAATGCCTCACGAGAACGTGAGCAGGCAGAAGAAGGTAAGAAGTACCTTTAGCCTGTGAGAACGCAGAAGGGTAAGAGAAGTGATAAATTATCCACCTGCTTTCAGATCTGTCCTGGTTTTGGCAGGGATAGAGTTAATTTCCTTCCTAGTAGCTGGTACAGTGCTGTGGTTTGGATTTAGGACGAGAACAATGTTGATAACACACCGATGTGTTTCAGTTGTTGCTAAGTAGTGCTTACACTAGTCAAGGACTTTTCAGCTTCCCATGCTCTACCGACTGAGAAGGCTGGAGGTGCACAAGAAGCTGGGAGGGGGCACAGCCAGGACAGCTGACCCCAACTGGCCCAAGGGATGGCGGGAGTTGGGCAGGGGTGACCGCTGCTCAGGAACTGGCTGGGCACCGGGCGGCAGGTGGTGAGCAATTGCACTGTACATCACTTATTTTGTATATTTCTTTATCATTACTGTTATTATTATTGTTTTCCCTTCCTTTTCTGTCCTATGAAACTGTCTTTATCTCAACCCACGAATTTTACTTTTTTTTTTCTCTCTGATTCTCTCCCCCATCCCACTGCGGGGGTGGGGGGAGTGAGCAAACAGCTGTGTGGTGTTCAGTTGCCTGCCGGGTTAAACCATGACAAGATCTCTCTTTTTTTTTTTTTTTTCTTTTTTTAATTTATATTGACTTTACATATGTAGGCGGTAATACAGATTCTGCCGAATCTAGTGATCTAGTAAGTAAACTTTCATTTTGGAAATACACTTTTACACTAGGTTAGAATCAGGGTTTGAAGTTGCAGATGAAAATAAATTAGGCCAGTACTTAGGTGTTTAGTTTCAGTAGTGGCAATCTTCTTGTTGGGCAGAGAATTAGAACGTTAGAAGCAAAATCATGAATGTAGAGGGAGAGCTATACAAGACAGCTTTTACGGTATAGCTGACAAGTTAATTTACTAGTGTAGCTTGTAAGTCCAAATGTCACTGGTGTAAGTCCAAATGTCACTGGTTTGCTATATTCTAGTGTATTACTAGCTGTGCAGGACTTTTTTCAGTTGGGCTTTCACTCTATCTGTAAATCTATGATGACAATCTTAAATGTTCTGTTTATTCAGTGATGGAATTTTCCTTTGTCAGGCACTTATATTGCAAAGCAAAGATACACTTACAGGTTTGCTGATACCAGTGTGTTAAGTTTTGCTCTTTACTATGGTATGTACACTTCCTCCTCATCCTTGAATTGCTGGGTGCCGTATTCCTATGTGCTTATGGCTCACCATGTACTAACTAAGCTACTTTATGGTTAGTGCCCTTTCAGTTGCTTGGAGAAGGACCATCCTTCTTCATTCATGTGTACTTATTGCCTGTGAGGAGCTAGGTAGTTATATCTTTTGTTTGCTTTTAATGCTTTTTTCAAAGCTCCAGGCTTTCTGGAAGCAAAGATTTAAAGCAGTGTACCAAGACAGCTGTTTGCTGGCCACAAGTCCTCCTTGAGCTGTCTTTTGAAAATGCCTGAGTTAAACTGTGGTGTGTTTTGTTTTTTTTTTTTTAAAACACGTTTCAGATAATAGTGGTAACAAAATGACAGCAAAGTGAATTATTCTGTACCTTGGAGAACATCCTAGTAGGAATATGATCATTTAGGTAGTATCTTTTCTATTTGCAGATACATAGACCAAGGCCGCAATCCTCAGCTTTACACTAAAGAGTGTCTGGAGCGAGCTTTGGCTAAAAATGAGCAAGTAAAAGGAAAAATTGACACCATGAAGGTAAACCAGAAATAATGAAAGTACTAATGTAATAATGTATTTGATAAGTTTTTACTTCTCTGTAAATATGTGTGTGGGGGGTGTTTCACTTGTGCAGTTATTAAATTCCCTTGTTAGGTGATTTGTGTTAGGAATTGCTCTGCATCCCTGTATCTTAATTGATGCTAATGCAGCCTGTTCTGGAAAAGGAACTTGTAATTCATCCCACAGTTAGAGATGCAGGTGTCACTATGATTTTATTTTGGTTACAGCTGTATGTAGCATTACAGGTTGTCTTTGTTGTTTTCTTATTGAATACTAGTGAGTACCTCACACTGTTACAGATCTGTAACTGTGATGTGTGTAAATTTTAGAAATAAGCAAAACAGAAGGGGTATTTTTCCAGTCCTGAATGGATCTTAGAGTGTTAAAATGCCAAGTGTGCTATGTAAGCATGAGTTAATCTTTATAAAATTACTTAAAATGTATGCCAGCGTTTAGGGTTTTCTGAACTTGTACCGTCATCTAGTATGTACGTAAGCATTCTGCTGTACTGTTTAACTGCTGTAATTACTGCTGAAAAACATAATTGGAAAAGGAAGTTTAGTGAGATTTGAGAAAGGGCTGTTTGTGTTTCAGAGGGTTCTTTGGCTGAACTTAAAATTGGTGTGGAGGATGGCAATTTGTGCTGCAGAATGTAGACTTATCTCTGTATGTTCTAAGCTTCTCTTTCTTTTGATATGCTCTGTGCTTGTAAAAGTTGTAGGAAGAATTATGTATTTCTAAGCCAGGTGTGAGTTCCTTTTTGGAGGTGGAGGGGATTCCGTATCAAATCAAGAGGACGTGTCCTTTATCAGCTTTGATTAATAAGGTCAGACAGATACTGATGTACCGGAGTTTACCAGAGAGGTCCAACTACTTTGTGTTTCTTAGGTGAAAATGCTAGTTAATTTATGGGAAATTAAAAGCATTTTAGTTTGGTGCTTTCCTAGCAGATTTCACTTGAGTATTTTCTGTGAATTTTGTAAATGTAACTTTCTCTGTGTTATGGGAATAAAAGCATTTTAGTTTGGTGCTTTCCTAGCAGATTTCACTTGAGTATTTTCTGTGAATTTTGTATGTAACTTTCTCTGTGTGTGTGGTTTTGAGGATTTTTGTGGGTACTGTTCTCTTGGGTCACTGAAATGTAGAACTGTATTGTATACGACATTTCTGTTCATCAGAGAACATTGCTTGATGAAATCTGAATAAATTGTGGAGATGATGTATATACATTTTTTTCTGTTTCCAGAAATTTAAAAGTCTGTTAATTCAAGAACTGACAAAGGTGTTCCCAGAAGATATGGCAAAGTACAAAGCTGTACTGTTCTCTTGGGTCACTGAAATGTAGAACTGTATTGTATACGACATTTCTGTTCATCAGAGAACATTGCTTGATGAAATCTGAATAAATTGTGGAGATGATGTATATACATTTTTTTCTGTTTCCAGAAATTTAAAAGTCTGTTAATTCAAGAACTGACAAAGGTGTTCCCAGAAGATATGGCAAAGTACAAAGCTATTCGAGGAGAAGATCCTCCTCCTTAAGTTGGCCTTTGATAGCTCTAAAAATGTCAATTCCATAAACTGACACCACTCTATAAAAACATTGATTGGAGAGAGGGGGAATCCAAGCCTTCATAGCAACTGTACTAAAAATGGCAGCGATGGACTGTAAAGGAGCTTGATGATTGCTGATGGTCCTGGTCTGAAGCTACTGAATCTTCCTGAAGACTTTTTTACTCAAAGGTTGCAGTTGAAAATTCCTGTGGTGATCTATTATTCTTTCTTGAAAAGTTTTGCAGATAAAATTGCCTGCAGGTCATCGGTACACAGCATTTCCCACAAAGTGCATTTCCAGAGCAGAAAATCATGTTTTTTGTCTTCTGAAAAGTGTGCTCCAGGACTGTGGGCTCATCTGTTTTTAAGAGAAATGTATTTATTGTACTCGATCATTTTTTCATTTGTAAACTTTTTTTTTATTACAGTACAAACAATTGACTGCTTTCATCTTGCCAAATTCTACTGAACAGGAGCCTGTCAAGGGCTGCAGGTCTTATGTGTCATAATGAATTGCAGCCAAGAAAACCTTCAGATATGTTTGTTTTGCTCTATGAGCTGCAGTGCAGATGGCTGAGGATATAGCAAGTGAGCGTGTTCGGGGACTAGCTCCTCAACAATGTTAATATTCTGTATAGTATTTAATGTAAGCTTTTGTTTAATTCTGTTCATTTTCTGTAAGCACGTTGTTGAATAAAAACTTGAAAGAAATTTAAATGCTAACGTTTTTCTGTTGTATGCTGCTCTTCGGAGGATGAACTGAAAGCTGTGAAAAATAGCATATTCCTCAGTCTCACAGTGACAGAAATAAAATGCGTATCAAAACCTGGCTGATACAAAAGTTTATATCTGAAGAGAACGTCAACTTGGTATTTTGGTTTTGTGGGGAAAACTTCCGGCTTAATACCTGAAGCAGGGGATTTGGGGGATCGGTGATTGTCACCTGAAGGGTTTCTGATTAGCTGCTAACTCGTCTGTGAAATTATAACCGTTCATACGCAAGGTAGTCCCAACACAGAAGGGCCTGTTGGGTTCGGTACCCGGGGGCACAGTGCATGTGCAGAAGACTAGCCTTACAGTGGCAGCAAGAGGGCCTCTCTTAATCGTGGGGATTTGTGAAACTTGAACCATCTGTGTTTACATTTGTCCTTCCAGGTGTAACTTGACTTTTTTTGCACCAGCAAATGAATACATTATTTTGTTAACTTTCTTTTAGTTGCTAAACTTAGTGGTTTTGGGCAGGAGGCCCAAAAGAGCACTATATGCATGTGCTCTATAGCAGACCTACCTAGCCCGTTAAACACCTTAATGGGGATTTAGGTATGTTCAAGTTGTTGGTGCCATAGTTTCCACACCTGAAGTGCTGTCTGTGCTCAGTTACCTAGCTGAAGCAAAGCCCATCCATAATGCCAAGCAACACTATGCCTGACCAAGCTTTGGCATAACAAAAGGAAAAAGAAAAATGGAAAACTAGGTGTTCCTTTGCATTAGTTATATGAGACTTGTTACCTGGCGGTCTAATCTACTTGCTGCCTGATGTTATCCTGCCCTGCCCTAGTCTGCACGCTTCCTTTTCATTATATTTGCCCCGCTGCTAATCACTCTTTTTCCCTTCACGATTTTACTGTACTAACTTGGCAGAAAACAGCGATAAAGAGAAAGCGTGCCATGTTTGTGTTTTGCGCCACCTGGATTGCCCTCAGTCCCTAGCGGTTGTTGAAGCAAGGCTTGTGGCTGGCAAGCGGGATGTATACAGGGCACGAGCAAAGAAGGTAAGAGTATTTCTCTGGTGCGATAATGTGGTGGGAAGCGGAGCCTGAGAGCAAAAACGTCAGCAGCAGGCAGGTGAAACTTGTTTCAATGGTAGCTGAGAGAGAACATTTTTGGGGCAAGAGGCCAGTAGAACCTGGTCTGGATACTGGAGTATTCTGGCTCCTAGCGCTCACACCAGTTTGTGCGTCAGACTTGGTGGAGTAGCACACTTAAAAACCGGTGCTTCCAGGAAGTCTTATTTTTACATCTACTTCTCATTCCAAAATATATTACTCTGGTTCTGCAAATTCTCTTAGAAATTAATATTAAAAAAAAAAAAAAAAGATAATCTAGATAGATTGTCCTTGCCATTTGGATTTTTGGATCTGTAAACCTTACAGGGCGAGCCTCCTAATGCTTTAGAGCATTCTTGGTAGCTTTAATTTTTGTAACACCAACTTAGGAAAAAAAAAATGAAAGCACTCTAAAAATCAAATGAAAACAAAACACATTCCCCGTAGAGCAAGCTGGCATTTTGTTTGAACGTAGACAGACTCCCTGGGGAAGCACTGGGACAGGTTGACCAGACAGGCGGTAGAATCTCCAACCACCTTCGGAGGTTTTTAAGACTCGCCTGGACTAGGCCCTGAGCAGCCTGATCTAACTTAGCGGTTGGCTCTGCTTGGAGCAGGAGACGGGCCAGGTGAACTCTAGAGGCTTTTTCCAATCAATATGATTTTGCGACTCTATGATTCAAATAGTAAGAGTTTGTAAGTACAAAAAGGATAAAGGGTAGGGGCTAAAATTGCTGAAAGAGAAATTTGGATTAGGCATTAAACAATCTTATTGTAAGGCTAGTAAAGCAATGGTATAGTTTTCTTGTTGAGTTTCCATCAGAACACTCATGAGACACTGGTATAGTTGATCCTGTCTTAAAGCAGAGGGAGAAACAAGATGACTTCCTGAGGTCCCTTCCAGCCCTTTTTTGATGATAGGATTTTGCCATTCAGAAAACAAAAAATCCGTATGGATTAGTGTAAAGTATTTCTTGAAAAGAGAGCAGGGACGGAGAGCAAGGACAAGAGGCAGTGGACCTGCGTTGTAATGAAGGAAATTTGATGGAGAGAAGGGGTAAGTTTTTCACTCTGAGACTGGTTTAGCACTGGAACAGGTGCTCAGAGTGGCTGCAGAATTGCTGCCCTCGGATTTTCCCATCTTGCCTGTACAAAGCCCTGAGTGATCAGACATAGCTTAAAAGTTAACCCTTCTTGGGGCAGGCAGCTGAACTAGACAACCTGCAGAGGTCCCTTCCAACCATTTTTTTTTCTGTTTTCTATGAGTCTATTATCTTACCCTATCACAGTGAAAGGTTTTTTGACTACTCGGTCTCAAAAATTAATTTTTTTTATTGCAGTATGCTGCAGATGATGGTAGGTATTTAACCGGTGCAGGGACCTTTGCTTTTATGTAGTGCAAGCTGTGATTAGCACCCATGCCTGCAGGTGAAGTACTGAAGAGGTGCTGCAAGAAGCTTTTTCATTTGCTTTCAAAGGCATTGGGTTGTGAGCATAAATGGTTTTAAAGATGTTTGGGATCAGAAACTGTTTAAAGTATATGCAAAGTCAAGTTTACTTTGAGACAAAGGTGAGGCCTCTGGAGAAACTGAACTCTCGAGGTAATTCTGTCTGTGTAGTGCATCTTCTCTATTCATTTCTAAGCCCACTGCATTTAGTGGGTATCTCTGTACCTGTTTCCAATTGCTCACGTGAGCTATGATTTCCCTGTTGGTAACTTTAGAGACATTAATGTTGTTACATGAGAGTAAGGTTTTCAACCAGGAGAGACCTTATCTTTTTGATTCTTTAATAAAAAAATCAAATAGTTTTACATTCTGCTTCCTCCCTCGATTCAACTCCTTTGCTGTGATGCCATTCAAAAACTTGTAGCTTATAATTTTTGGTTTAAACGCCATATTCTAAAATGTAGTCCTCAGTTTCAAATTAGTTTTTACACATATGGTTACTTTGAATTTTGAGCCTAGCGTATTAGTTTATAACAGTATCACACAATGTTAGGCTGGTACTGTGAAAATACTATCACAGCATTTACATTCTAGACGTGTGGAGCTTAGCATCACATATGTCTCTGTCGGTTTATATGCTGACCAGCTCTGTGTTGATCAGCTCAGAGCTAATGAGCTTTATATGGTATGGCTTTTTTTGTAATGTGTTCTTTCCATATCTATATTCCATGCTATATATTATATAGAAACTAATAATGGATTAGTAGAGCTTATAACGTATGGATTTACTCCTACTGCTGATAGGAAAAGAAGGCGTGAGAAGGAAAGGGGTACTCTCACAGGTTCGCTGGAAAGAGGATTTGTTCGTTGGATATAAAAACACTGAGCAGAATTCAAAATTTAACTTTCTGAATATTAAATATTTTTGTGCATGCTGAAAATTTCCTTTCCTTAACAGAAAAAAACCCAAGTTCTGTGTGTTGTTTCAGTGCGCCACAGCTGCCCTCTGCCTGCTATGCAGCTGAATCGTTTCTCCACAGCCCTGCTACTTTCCCTCTCTTAAGAGCACCAGCAGGGTAGGGCGAGATGAGATTTTTTTGGCAGAGGATGGTGAAAGAGAAACTCTGTTCATAGGACCTGTGAATTGTCTATGCTTTGGTGGGCTTAGTGTGGGAAGCCCTTGAAATTAGTTGAATTGTCCAGTAAGCATCCTTTCTGTCTCAGCTACAGCCTTCACGCCACTCCACAGGAATACCAGTGTGCTTTTGCGTTAGGCAGTCTCCTGTACCTTGTGGAAAAGCCTGTTCGTTTTGCTACCGTTACAACACCATCACCCTTCTATAAATGCTGTACCAAGGACTCGGACTAAATCTATGCATTAGATTTGTTTGTGAAGCATCGGTCAATTTTGGCCACGTTTTGCTGATATTGGCACCACATTATGGATTTGATTGTGCCAGCTACATAACGCCCCAGCAAGGCCTCGTGCGTTCTCTCTTCTCGCTGTTTTTGATGCTGTTACTGCAACATTATTAAAGTAGTTGAGTAAGTTGAGTTTTGCAGAATAAACAAACAGAAGTGGCAGAGGATTCTAACAAATAACAACTCTCTCACTTCCAAAACCACAGTAGCCTCTAGGGTCTATTTTAGAAAAATGCCATAGGAGTTTTTATTTTTAAATTTTATTCTATTGTTATCCCAATTAACAAAGATTCTCCTATTCTGAATTCCACTGTTTAACAATTATTTTATAATATAAAGGGTAATATTTTCCACAGGTTGTGCATTTCCCTGTGTCTTGCTTTTCTCCTCCATCCCGTGAGAACTAATTGTTACCCGATCATATTTAGTGGGCATTAATGAAGAATATTTTGCCAAAGCAATATAAAGTATTCTTTTCTTTCCACATTTTGTGATGAATGAGTGGACCTTTTTAAAAAATTGTTTTGTCCCTTTTGGCCAGCGCATCTTTAACTGCTTTTAGCTGTAGAAGTGTATCTATCTGCTTCTGGCTGCTCCATGGGTTATGAGACCTACCTCCACAAGCTCCTCTTCTGTGAGGGAGGGCGAGGAAGGGAGATGGAGCGAAATGTAGCCGGGCTCCTGCAAGCACGTGGGTACGCTCTCTGTGGCACGTAGTCCAGGCCTCTCCAGAATAACACCCAGGTCTGACAGGCTGGCTCTGGGGCAGGTCAGCCCTGGCCAGCTTCTCTTTGATGGCCTTGGTCAGCCCTAACCTTTGGTCGACAGTAAGGGTTTGATTTTCCCATGCAGTTTCTGCAGCCAGGCTCATAAATTGAGTTGCGCCTGTCAGCAGCCAGCTGAGCCCCCGCCGGGGCTCCAGCAGCAGCCTTGGCCACAGCTGAGCAATTGTCCCCCCCCGCCCCAAAACAGCTCTGAAGCGATGAATAAATCGTCAGGGTGCTGGAGCAGGGTTCTGGTCATG